CTTACTAGCTGTGTGACTCTAGGCAAGTCACTTAACCCCAATTGCCTAAAAATTTAAAAAAAAAATTAAAAAGTTAAAAAAAACTCTCAAGTATTCTCTTCTATAGGCTAATCACCACAGTACCTTTAACCTCTTTTCGTATGACATGGTTTCCAATGAACCTAAAGCCCTCACTATCCAGGCTACCCTCCTCTGGACATACCAGAAGAATGTCCTTTGTAAAGTAGAGTGCCTCACCTTTCTCCTTTCCTTGAAACCATTGAGAACCATGGGCATAGAATGTTGCGTGTGCCAGCAGATGTAGTCAGTGTGTTGATTTTGCTTAGCTGTTTTTCTTCGTGATATGTCACCAGATGGTACTGACAAGTCATGCTGAGCTGTCATCATCCCCTGAGCCAGGGTACCTATCTTTCTCAAACAATTTCCTTTTTTTTTTCCTTTCCTGTGGATGGAGCTTTCTTTCAGCTCATTTCTCTCTCAAACAAAAGGCTTCCACCTCCCAGTCTTCTATCTTATTCCTCTATGTTCTAGCTATACTTTTCTATTTACAGTGACACGAACATGACACTCCAAATCCCATCTCAGTGCTTTTGCAATGGCTGTCACCTCATGCCTGGAATACTTTTCCTCCTCTTGGCTTTCTTGGCTTCCTTCAAAACCCAGCTCATAGCCCACCTTCTACTGGAGTCTTCCCTCACCCTTGCTAATGCCTTCCCCTTTCAGATTATCTTTTTCTTCTTTGTCCCAACTAAATTATTTACATGTTGTCTCCCTCTTAGGACATATGTTTCTTTAGGATAAGGATTCTTTTTGTGCTTCATATTATCCCCAACATTTAGTACAGTGACAAGCATGTAACAAGTCCTTGATAAATGCTGACTGACATTCCTTTTCCCTTTATTTTCTTCTCAAACCCCATGTGCCAAATGGCTGCCCCCAGGAAAAGGGGAAAAGAAAATGCCTTTGTTTGATCACAGCTAGGGATATAGTACAAGATTATTCATTTAAACTATAGTTTTTCTGATGCTTTGCCAGTCTTGTTCATTTCTCCTCACTTTGCCCAAACAGCTCTAAGCTCACAGTCCAACTCAGTTAGGTAAGGTATCTCTTGTCTCCAGAAAGTAGAATCTGCCCATCTCCTTTTCTTTCATCCTGGCATTTGAGTACTGGGTGAATTACAACAGCTCAGCTTATATTGGCCAACAATTATATCACAGTTTAGACATATTAGAAACAGGGAAGAAGATGACTTCAAAAAGAAGACAGAAAGACTTATATGAACTGATAGAGAGTAAAATAAGAAAAGCCAGAAGAATAATTATGCTGTAACTTCAATATCGTAAATTTACAAATTTGAGAACTTTTATACACTGATAAAGAAAAAAATGAGCAGAACAAGAATAGTTTATACCACAACAACACTAAAAACAACTTTGAAAGCTGTGAGAACTATGATCAATACAATGATCGTCCATGATTTTAGAGGACCAGTGATGAAACATGCTATCCATTAGAGAGTGGTGATAGATTTAGGCTACAGAATGAGACATTTTTGTATACAGCCTTTAAAGGAGTCTGTTTTACTGTACTACATCCATTTATTACAAGATATTTGTTTCTTTTCACAATTAGGTAGGACATAGAAGGGAGGGAAAAAAATCAGACTTCTACAGAAGAGGCAGGGGAAGTATAGATGTGAAAGTTGTTTTCCACTCTGAGAGGAAGTCACTGTAAACTATTAGCTTTACTTCATTGTTTTGCTTTGCTATAAGAGACTTCTTATAAAGTGGGAGCAATCTGTAAATGTTTATAATGTAAAAACAAAAGCATCAATGAAACCCTTTGACTAACGAACATAAAGCAAGCATTCAAAGGGAAAATGAGAAATAGTACATCAAGGAGTGTCCATTATGCTAGCCTAGAAAAATAAGTGAGGAGAAGAGAAGGAAGGGAAGATGATTCATCATCCTTTTCCCTATTCACTCTAAGGTCATTAACATATAACTTTCTCTGCAATCAGCGCCCGAATACTATCTGCCCTGATCTCTCCTGTAGCCTAGCATAGCATCTCCTGTACTACCCACTGGCTTGGCTTCCTGGTTACTCTTACTCCTCTACCAGTTTCTTCTGTCCACAAACAAGCCCTTTATTAAACATGGAAGTGATGAGGTATGGGCCCAAGCCGAGACCTTTGTCCTTTGCCCCAAAAAGAATTTGGCTCCCATTTGTCTACAGGCCCCAGAAAGCCTTTGAACTTTTCTTACTCTGGTCTCAAAGGGTTTCTTATGGACTCCCCTTATCTCCCTTTGAAAACTCTAGCCTCACCTTTTGACCTTATTCAGATGCCTTTCAAACTTCTTTTTCCAGTTCCCTTCATTATCTATTCCCATTGTCTATTCAATCTCTCAGACCTTCCAATTGGACCCTTTTCCCAGTTCCTCCTCTGGTCACCCAAAGTTACTGTAATGTATGTAAGATCCACCCTGCCCCCCATTTAAACACTGAGACTTTCTCATACCCGCTCATCAGATTCCTTAAGAGTCTGGCCTGTATGGTTTATCTCTAATAAACCTTTTCTCTGGCTGAAAGAAGATTTGGGTTGCATTCATGCAGGCAGGGCCCATGTGTCATGATCTCAGGGGTCCCAGAACCCCTGAACCTCTAGACCTCATCAGAAGGGGCCAGGGAAATTAAACTTAAGAAACCAATCACTACCTGTCCTGTGAGTCTAATCCCTCCCTCTAAATCTTTCTGCCCTTCCTTTGTGAGCATGACCAATAAGCCAAAGCAAGGCTCACCAAAGAGATGAAGATCAAAGAGATATATATCCAGAAATGACTGAGTTTAAAAGTTATCAATAAAACTAAATTAAAATAAATACTATGTCTATATCCAAACTCAATACTTTACATATAGTCTGACCAGGGCAGATTATATTGGAACTAACACATCTGTCTAATCAGTATACTTTTATTAATAAAACCTGAAAAAGCATTAACTACTGTGGTTGGCACATTTCAGTGCTTACTAATATTGAGTGGCTGTCCACTAATACCCCCAAGGTCTTTCTCATATAAACTATTTCTTGGCTACATCCTGCCTACCTCTTACTTATGTTGTTGATTTCTTAAACCAAGATAAGAGATGGACATTTATCCTTATCAAAAGTCACCTTGTTATTTTCAGCTTACCATTCAAGCCTATAGAGCTATTGTAGGATCCTAGTTCTGTCACCCAATACATTATACTTCCCATTCCAGTTTGGTGTTAATTGAACATTTGTTAAGAATAACCATGCCATGGGGCAGCTAGGTGGCACAGTGGATAGAGCACTGGCCCTGAAGTGAGGAGGACCTGAGTCCAAATCCGGCCTCAGATCAAACACCTGACATTTTCTAACTGTGTGATCCTGGGCAAGTCAACCCCAATTGCCTAAAAACTAAAAAAAAAAAAAAATTATGCCTGCCCCTTTTGGAACTACATCAATCCCCATAAAGCCCAGGATTCTTTCCATTATTAAAGCATGGTGAGAGAGATGATGTTAGAAATGCAGAGATGATGACATAGAGTTAACGGAGATAGAGATGTATATGCATATACATATATACACATATGTAAATACACATCTATATTCTTATAAACAAATACATAAATTCACTTCCTGATGAGTTAAACTCCAGGAAAACAGCCCCATGCTTACCTAGTGTTTAGGAAGAAGAAAAGGAATATTAAAAATCCTAATTGTTAAGAGGGAAATCATCAGGTGAAGGATTATAGGAAGCCAAGAGTTTAGGACTTCCTGCTTTTATCAGGTAGCTAAAAAGCCAATCAGTCTTAATTGTTGCCAAACAATCTGCAGCTGTGTCACCTTCTTTCCCAGAACAAGCCTCATAAGATAAAGGTCCATAAAACAGTCCTCTAAGCACTGTATTTATACTGGGATTTAGATTTCAATTACAAAGGGAAATTATATCTACCATTTGATGCAAATTCATTTCCCATATTTGAACACATTAGGACAGTAAAAGAATTGCCTACTTAATCCTCTCATAAACTTCTCAATTTCATAAAACATCTATTGATGTTTCATAGCCATAAAACGTGACTGATGATCAGCTTTCTTAACATTGTCCCAAGTTAAAAGCACTATACTTAAAATAGCAATAGAGATAATACCACCAAATGTTCTTGCTTTCTGATGCTTATACTAAACCTAGTTTAAAAAAAAACCTTTCCATGATTAAAAACAAAAAAAAAAAATCTAGAGAATCCTATGTCTATTGTTTCTAGAGCAATACTACCAAAAATAACATTGAAAACTATAGTCATTGAAAAGTTAATGAGCCACCATTTTGCTACAATTGTCTCTCATTTGTAAGTCTTATCAGAAAAGATAAGGAATAAATCTCTTGTGTTCTTTACATTACTTAGCACATTTCTGTCAAGCAACAGCATGTTCTTCCAACCCTAGTGGTCCCTAATCCATAGGTCCCTCTATAATTAGAGTCAAAGTTGAGCCAAACTTTTGGGTGGTGAAATATTCTACTATTATTTGGGACTTGGGGGAATTGCAGAATAATGGAATTATAGGAACTAGAACCTTAGTAGCTAAAGGGGCCTTATAGGTTATCTTGCTCCTCAAACTAGTTAATAAGTACTAATTGAGTGCCTATTGCTGTATAAATCACTATAATAGAGAACTGGAGGAATTATGTAAGAAATCTAAGAATAAGAATTGGACTTTGACTTTATTGGCATATGGAACTCCAAAAGGAATGAATGAGTGAATGACAAGTGAATGAATGAAAGAATTTATTTATTTTATTTTATTAAGCATTTATTAAGTACTGCCTATGTACAAAGCACTGTACTAAGCACTTGGGATACAAAGAGAAAAGTAAGGTAGGCCCTGCTAATTGCGCTCACATTCTAATGGAAGAGAAAAACACATATGAAAGGTTTCAGTTTCAAGTCAGACAGAAAGGTCCTATGGTCCTTAGGGTAGAGTAGCAAAGCATATGGTAATGATTCTTAATTCATGTCATTTCTATTAATAAAAAAAATCCATATCTCCTGTTGAATCACTTGACAGCACCATTGATTTTGGTGACAAGAACTTTCTTTTCTGGTCTTCAATACATTTGTCTGTAGCACCTGCAGGAGTAGTTGCCAGGTTTCATCTTCACAGGGCTTGTTTACCAGAATAATGACCGTGGACACTGGGCTTGAAGCATTACTATTCCAAAGTCTCTTGGTTTCAGGTTCCTGGAGTGTCTCCGCCAGAGTCTAAAGAGAGATGGTGGTTAAGGTGATGGGGACATAGAGGGAGGAGGAGAAGACGACCCAGAATAGAGCCTGGGGGGACATCCAAGATTAGAAGACATGACCTGAATGAAGATCCAGCAAAAGAGATGAGAAGGAGCAGTCAGACAGGTAGGAGGAGACCTAGAAGACAGCAGTGTCATGAAAACCTAAAGAGAAGAGATTATCAGAGAGATGTGGATGATCACCCCACTCAAAGGCTGCAGAGAGATCAAGAAGGATGAAGAATAAGAAAAGGCCATTAGATTTGGCAATTAAGAGATAATCAGGAACTTCGGAGAGAGCAATTTCTGTTGAATGATGAGGTCAGAATTCAGACTACAGAGAGTTAAGAAGAGTCAAAGGAGTGGAAGTAAAAGTGCTGATTGTAAACAGCTTTCTCAGGCTTAACCACAAAAGTGACAGGACTCAGCAACTTCTGCTCCTAGAGCATTGTTGCCTACAGCACCAAGAATTTAAGTGACTTGTCCCAGGCCACACAATCAGTAGGTATCAGAGGTAGGACTCAAACACAGGGCTTTTTTGCTTTGAGGCTGACTTTCTATAACTTTAGAAAAACACAGGAACACCTGCATGCAATAATGAAGAGTTAAATAAGCAGAACCAAGAAAACGTTGCGTGCAGTAACAGCAATACTGTTGAAAGAATAACTATGAATGACTAAGTTATTCTGAGTATTATAAATACTCAAATTGACTACAAAAGATCTATGAAGGAAGATACTATTCACCTCTAGAGAAAGAACTGATGAATAGAAGCATGTGTTGTATGGTATATGTGTGTGTGTATGTACATATGTATACGTATATATGTGTATGTGTATGTGTATGTGTAAAATTGTGACCTTCTTTAGTATGGGATGGGGAGGGAGGGAGACAGTGTAGAACTTAAAATGTAACTAAAAAAATTTTTTAAACAAAAAAACAAAAGACTGACTTTCTATATCATATACCAAACTGGCTCTCAATCTAAGACCATCTTAAAGACTGTAAAATCTAGTTAGGTCCTCACAATGATAGTATATTATTTTGATTTCCAAAGCCAAAAATTTAACATATTATATGAATCCAAATCATCACCATCATTTTTTCTAAGGACATATTCCATGTTCCTTATCCATTATTCAATTCCATTCAATTAAAAAAGATTTGTTTGTTTGTTTTTTGAGCATCATGGTCTATAACCTGTGCTTGTCAAAATGTTCCTTTCCTTTGCCCACTACATTCATCCAGGTTTCATGAAGCTCCAAAATGTGTTAGCTATCTAACACAACTAGGAGTGAAATTGGAGTCTAATGGTCTTATGCTCAGATTTTAAGTTTAGAGCTGTCGTCTATTTGCATTTCTATCACCTGAAGCTTTGTTTTGTTAAAAAAAAAACATTAATCCAATTAGATATTTACTTGAACAACGGGTAATATGTTAAGGATGTGAGTTAGTTTTTGGTGAAGGAAATAAAATTAAGATCTTAGTTCACTGATAATTGTTATAAGGCACTTAAATATAGCTAACTTAGCCTGATCAAAAGTCTCAGGATGAAGGTACTCAGGAAGTGTGGTTGAACTGAAGAAATGGTTCCCTTCAAAGCAGAAGAGAATGTCTCTGTTTCTGCTGGTCTTGTCCCTTACAGGAAGGACATGTACTGGTATGTTATGCACTTTGCATAGAATGAGTGTAAATATAATCTCAGCTCCCAATAGAAAGAAGAAAGTGGAGAACAGAAAATCTTAGAAAAGAGAGGGCAAATAATGGTAAGAAGGGCAGGAACACGTTGCAACCTCCTTCTTGCTATCTCAAGCTGGCCCAAGCTGTGAGGAAAGCTAAGGACTCATGGAGCTCATGGACCCTAAGTGCTTGGCTAGAAGATGGCAAAAGAAAATATAACAATTGGTAAAGAAAGGAGATTCTGGCCACTATCAAACT